TTTCAAGATTAATTGTCCTTGGTGTAAAAAAGAGGTGAAAATTCCATGGTGAGAAATATTTAATTCTTAATCCTATATTTTCAATCCATATAATTCTAATAATCCCGATACTGGATTATATAGGAAGAAGTATGTGAATGTCATGAGATCTACTAAGACAAAAGAAAAATGCCCAAAATGTCAAGCGCCATATTCTGTCGAAACTTTAAGTGTCAAGAGATTTATTGACGATATTGAAGCTTGGAATAAGGATAATACTAAATTCATTGGGTAATTATAAAAAATTTATAATTCTCAAATTACTTTAAAGTTTATTAACAAAAAGACCGTTATTTATTTAGTGGCACTCTGATCGGTTTAAAGGATGGCTCATATTCAGAACAGTCTGCAGTCAAAGATTCTAATTTATTATTCTCCACTAATAGCGTTCACATTCGTAAACTTACAAACTTAGGATCAACAAATTGGAACCGATACAACTGGAAATATGTTATCAAACAAATTGATCTTCAGAAGAAAGGTTTGAAAAAGGAAAGTCAACTTAAAAATGCAAGAAAGAAAATTGTTCAGAGAGTCTTACTTTCTTATACTGGAATTCAATTACCATTCTCAATTGAGCTGATTAGTGCCATTCATAGACAACGTGAATTCACAGGAAAGATGGTTAATAATAAATGGATTAACTGTATAAACGTTCAAATCAATTCTACCGTCCGATACCATAAATTCTTATTGTTAATGAAAGAACAAACAAATACTTTACTCGTTCCCACTCTTGAAATTGACCTTGGTTGGCATACGCATCAAATTCATGCTTCACTTTATCGTGCGTTCACTCAGAAACATTTAGGTCGACTCGTTAACCATAATGATAATTTGGATAAGGGAAAATTGTCAGACGGGTTTGCAAGTACAGCTCAAGCTTGGTATAAGAAGTATAATGAACCATATACGCACGTGAACCCATCAAAATATCGGTTAACCACCAAAAAAAAGATCTTGTCGGTTATTATACCACCTTATGGCCTTTCAGTTCTTTATCAATTGAAAAAATATAAAAAAGAAAATGCTACCAAAGAAAACCTACGTGATTCCAACATAGGAACATCAGATAAAAACAATTCTCAGACCGACAAAAAAGATGAAAAGAGGTACGGGTACTAATGACAATTTTGAGTTCGAGTTTGTAAACTTGTTCTTTGATCTATTTTTTTAACATATTTAAAATATTTTTATCCATTTGTAGATACTCTGAAACATGTGGAGTTGTTGGGTTCACGGGTGAAGGTGGTGATTGCGGTGGGTGTGGAGAATACAGTAGTTGCGAAGGATGCATAGTTGTGGAGGATGCAGGTTGTGGAGGATGTGGTGGTGGTGGTTGCGGAGGATGCGGAGGAGGATGCGGAGGAGGATGATAATATACCGTTAAATATTAGTTCTACAGTCCTGTGATTAATTTTCCTAATTCGATAATGAAAATATGTCTACGATTTGATATATTATGAAATGATTGTTATTTTTCGTTTTTTATTACTTTTGTTTTCGTCTTAGGTATTATATTATTTCTTTTTGTTATTTTTAATCTTATTAATTTTGATTAAACAATTTTTAAATTTATAATATATTATTGAAAACTTATAACAAGAATATTAATAAAGTATAAATAATCATTTTTACATCTAACAAAAGCATAAATATTTTAGGAATGTATTATTTAGTGCCTTGAATTAGCCTTCAAGATATCCTATATGTAGTATTTGAATTTGAGTTTCTGAGATGACATATATAGTTTATAAAAAGGTTTTCACTATCTTTAGTTAAATAATCAAATCAAAAATTTAAAGTATTATCTTAGTACTTTTAATAAATATTAATATAGAAATTTATAATATTATTATGTACATTACTATATACTTCTTAATATTTTGTTTTAAGAATTTAACTATTATAAAATTTTGGCAAAATTTTCCTAAACCAGTAATATCAATCTTATAACAATAAGCAAATTGTATATTAATGATCATTATAAGATTAAATTAGACAAATTATTATATAAAAAATATTATATAGAAATACTTTATAATCTAAAAAAAAATCTATTGATAAAAAAATAAGCAAATAGAATTTATCCTGATATTGAATTCATGCTTACAAGAAAGGTTGATAAATAATATAAGAAAAAAAAGACATCAATGCCTTAAGATAAACATTAACCTTACTTTAGATAATTCTAGTACTTTATTATGATTAAATGAGTTTGATAAACAGATAAAGAAAAATATTATTAAATTTCAGCTAGATAAGAAATATAAATATCTAAAAGCTAAATATAATAAGGTTTTTGATAAAATAAGAAATCTTATTTATTCAATTTAGTAACAATTAGAAAATAATATAAATTTACTTTTTTAGATTAAGAAGAATATAAAAATTGATAAATTGATCTCATTACTTTTACACTTTAAAAATAAAATAAAGGATTGAGAAAAGATTTTTCTTTTACTAAAAAGATTATAAATATATTAAATAATATTATCTTTTCTAAGAATTAAGTAATTATTATATATAATAATGTATTTAATCTATTGTTTTTAATTATATAAATAATAATATTAAGCTGATTTGATATTATGAAATTAATAGTAAAAACTTATAGACAAAATTGTAGATTAATATTAAAAATGATTTTGTATTTGTAAAAAATATATTTTTTGCTTTTTTCTATTTTTAGTTTAACTTATAACTTAATGTTATTTATTTTAAAGAAATATAGTTTATCTTTTTACTAATAATCTTTGCCTTTTATATATCTAAAATATATATTTTTTTATTTTTTTCAAAAGAAAGCTTACTATTAATCTCTTATTTTATACTTAAAAATATTCACTAAAATAATTAGATTACCTGAAATAATGATTAATACTTCAAAAAAGAGTAATTTAAAGATTTAATTTTTTTGTATTTAATTAATTATTATATAAATACTGATGTAAATAAAATTTTTCAAATTTTTTTTAATATAAGCTAATTTTTTTTAATAATAAATCTAAATCATTATATAAATTAATAATTATAATCACTACTAAATATAACGAACCAGCCATTCTGACAGATTTAGTTTAGTATATAATAAATTTGATATATAATATTCATATTATATATTAAACTATTCAATATATAAATTTATCCAATAAATTTAAACTATATATAAACTTACCATATGACAATCATATTTAAAATGCAATAAATATATAATATATTATAATAGTTTATTTAAATATTAGTATTATATTGAAAATAATAAAGATTGACTTGTATAAGATTTTTTAAAGCTAATAATTTTACTTTTTTTATGTAATTTTCTTAAAACCTTTAACTTTTTATTTATATTCCTAAATTCTAGTTCCTATTTATATAAAAATTTCATAATTTTATCTATAACTCTTTCTGCTTTTATTAGAGTTACCTTTTCTAATATAAACATAAATTCATTCTTATTTGCTATATCTTTTCCTTTATTTGTATTTCATATAGTATTAATTATTTCAAAATCTGTAAACCCCTTTTGAAATCTTATCCTTAATATAAAGTATTCATATGCATTAAAATCATTATTTAGAAACAGAGAAATTAACATTTTAAGTTTATTAATTTTTATATTAAGACTATTATATTAGAATTTTACAAAAATTATCATTAACTAAAAATGTTTTTAAAAGATTATATTAATATAATTTATATATCTATCATTAATCATTATCAGAAATTTCTCTAGCTTCAAAAAGGATATCTGTTTTCTTCTAACAGTTTAAGATTATTTAAGAAGATATTGTTGATTATACTTTAATCATATTTTCCATATTTTATAAAGCATCATAAATAGTATAATCTGCAAGTTTTTTCATAATACCATTTTGCATATCATCATATGTATTAATCCTATTCAAAATTAAAAAGCATTTATAATAACATTTGAAAGAATAAATTATTCTGACATCATAGAGCTAAAATTTAGTGGTAGTATTTGATAAAAAAAATTTTATTTCTATATTATCTAACTTTTCTTTAGTTTTATCTAAAATGAGATGTATTAATGTATTATCAATTAAAAAATCATTCTTCGTCTTTTTATCTCATTATTTCAGTAAATTTAAGAAGGATTTCATTAAAGATACTAACTTGTATCTATATTTTTTTATTTTAAAAATAATAGACTGGAAGATTTTTGTAATTAATATTTTTTATGACATGAGAAGTTTTATATTTATAAATAAATGTTAGTATCATTTTCTCATTGCTGGTTATATTTATTACACAAAATATTATAATGTGAGATTTTTCTTTTTTATGCCCTGATAGAGAATTACAGTAGCGGTCATAAGTATCCGACCGCCCGAGATCATCCAAAATTATTATATAACTACCCCTTAAATTTTCCA